CAATAAAGTGGATGTATTTCTATCTGAACGTGATGAATGTGTAATGTTGAATTATGACGTTATCAGTGAGGAATCAGAGCGGTTGTCTTCGTAAACGTTGCCTAATCCGTTCAAAATTTAGCATAACGTACTACATACTATTATTCTTTCGTGGGTTTACAAAAAACCCGTGATGGCATACGTCATATCTCAGGTGTTGTCTCAAAATCAAAAGTGTGGCGAAAAAATGAATTCAAGCGGCCTGACAAACCGATGCGTCACACGTGACGAAGAAAGAATTTGCTTTAGGTAATCATTTTGGAGCTCAAGGTCTTGTTTCAGATTGTATTCAGATGGACAAAAAATTACTTATTCCAACATTGAAATAAATGAATGAGAAAGTGGTATATTTTTCAGCAGATATTAGTTTGTGAGATGAAGATAGGCTCACAGATTTTCGTTTGAAAATGGATGAGTAGAAAGCCAAAACTAACAGTTCTCATCATACTTGTGTTTGAGTGAATTTCTTCAAGCCAGAATTGACAGTTAATGACTGAATATGAGATTGTTCAGCAGTTGAAATGGAATGAAAAACTTCCAATTATGTGAGGTCGGTAGATCTTGATTTGTATACACGTAACAATGAGTAGACTCGTCCATACAGAAAAGGATTAGAATGGTCCCAAATGTTTTACAACATTCCACAGTATTAGACACTATTTTGTAATGTTTTACAATGAACTAGGATGAGACGATATATTTTCGAAAGTTCCATACTATTATCCCCTGTTCGATGTATAATTTGTGATATCAATTCTGAAGCAGCACAATATCATCATAGCTTCTGATCCTGATGATAAACCAGTGATAGTACTTGAAAAATGATGCAATAAACTCAGCACTCATAAAATCAGTATATTTTTCTTCTACTTAGAAGACAGGTCCAATTCAACCTAAGTACAAAGAAGAAGACTTGCTTTCATATGTCACTCAACTTCAAGAATGCAATCGAAAAATACGGACACTCTGGAGTTGTTATTGCCTTTATAACATCACGGCCTTCTATTGTGTCTAGCACGAAGTTCAGTAATGAAACTTAGATGTTGCAGTTTGCCACATCATCTTTGTTTCTATCTCCTCAGCTTTCTCAAACACGTTTTTTTACAAGTAAAAAGCTATAGTTCTCCTTCAGATACTTGTATAATCAATGCTGGTGATCCTTATTGTCCATATAATCCAATATAATGATTCGCTGACATACAAGAAGTTATATATACTATTGAAGACCTGGAGATGAATATGGTGAACTGGATAGCCCATACGAGTATTGGCACAGGCACTTTACTGGAACAGTGAAGGAGCTCCCCAGATATTAATGAAATTATTTCGATCAACAATCGATCAACAATGTATATTCCACAAGCAAGCTCAAATCTGACATTTTTGGGAAATCGCTTCATTGCATTTAAACCTATTCCATGGAACATCATAAGGAAGTAGGAACCTACCTTTCTTCTGTAGATACTTTCACGGAAAGTGTTTGACTAACTTTTAGATTCAATACACCCACTTCCAACTACACTTGTTGAGTACTGTTCCATTTTTGAAACGGGTTTCTTGTAGAATGAACTTTTCGAAAAGGTTTTCCTTTTGAATAGAATTTATAGAAATTCTGATCCATTGTATCACTTTTGCACTTTTGCTTTTAAGAATTTTCGAGTAGGGCTTGTACAATAGGAGAATCTCCACGAGTATGATGATGGCATTGTGCCACGACTGGAAAAATAATATACAATGAAAAACCGGTGCTTCCAATGTGAAAAAAATGAAAAAGTTTCTAGAAAATGGTATAAGTCTGCAATGAAATTTCACCAGATAATCAGCGGATATGGTTGTCGAAAATAACTGGATTCAGTGGCATTTTTTATAATTTAAAGATGTTCTACTATATCCCAAATTGAACATGTTTATATTTATTGATCAAATGGTCTGGTGTCAATATTTCCGCTTCCATAAAAGGAAGATCTCCATGAAGCAACTGGCCTCCTAACCTAACCTAACCTATCCGTTAATGGAGTGACCCTTTTACAAGAATCAGCAAAAGCTCGATAAGTTCATCGCTTTAGACAGCGATTGAAAAAAAAATGTAAATTCAGAAGTCGATTACAGTGGCAGGCGATCGAATAGAGGAAAGAGTTCACAGGAAATCTAGATACACGAAATCTATGTACACCGAGTTCAGATCAGAGAACATATAGAAGTTTGCGGCCAAGGAATTAAAAGCGAGTCTATCGTGTTCAACTATCTTAACTCATTTTGATAGACTACATATAACGATCGTTTCAAATGAGTTCATCTATGATTATGAATTTTTGTTTGTTTTTTTTTGACAAGGTCTGTATTTTCTTATTGACTGACTGATAAATATATCATTAATGCAAAGCGAAGACTAAGAATACTACCTTACTTGACTTGGTAATTTTTTAATTCAGGAACTCGATAATGATAATGGAAAAATATTAGGTGAGATGGACTAAATCACATTAGGTTCACATGAATGCTGTTCATGTGCTCAATTCCAACCCACACGTAGAACATTCGCACTGATATCAACAATATCTCTGGTTTTTTTAATAGACATAAGGATCCTTCGCATGAATTACGTATATATGAATGACTTATGAATTTCTGTTTTGACTATGTTTCATTATTCTAGAATTGGTGAAGGTGAATGCGAATACTATTCGGGGTGGCTCTATTTTTTGCTCAGTCAACAGTTTCCTTACCGTTAATGGGATGACTCATATAGAAGTTATTATATGAGATGTGTTGTGGAACAGCTTTGTGGTAGCGAATAATAAATAAGTGGGTTACTTTTTCAAAAAGAAACCATAGGCCCAACAATGCCATCCTGTTTGAATAATTTGACTTGTATTTCTGGAACTAAGTGATATCAATAAAATGATTCGTACACAAGATGCACATAAACACAAGTAATTGATTCAAATGAATTATATTTTGGTGAAACAAATTTTTTCATTCGGAGCAATAAACCTGTTATTTAAAGTAAAAGTTGTAATTCCTTGATTTAAAAAAATATCACTAAAAATGTTCCTGCCCATGTATCATTCAATTATTTTGTTTTATAAGATACTAGAAACATATATATTTGAATTGAATAATATAATAATAGTACAGAATCTGAAAGATTATTTTCATTCCAGAATATGATCATACTATTTAATGATTTATCGCAATCTGATTGAATGGATAATGTTACGAAAGATATGTTCCTAGATTTAAGTGAATGTCGTCTATGTTTCATTCCAACCCGCACCCCTTACGTTTAATGACAATACATCCATAGAGCACCCATATCGACCGAATCTCTGGTATGTAACTCATCTATCGTTATACAATATTTCAGCAACTGGTATGGTATCAGACTCGTAGTTATCACCGCTACGGCCGTACACGTCTGCACAATGCTATTATTCACAGAATACAGAATTCTTCGCATTTTCCCTTTAGCCGTCGAGGATATACAACCCGGTGTCGTTTGAATTCTTTAGTGTTGCTGTGTCTTGTTAGAGTCTTCAATGTCTGTTTCATGAGAAGGGTTTTATACAATGTTTGCATTCTATTAATCGAAGTTTTTTTTTTATTTTTCAGGTTGTTATGGTTGTTTATTTTCAAACTATTCTGTGATTTTAGTTATGTATAATTCGATTCATTCTTCAGATGGATTCTCTGAATACATTTTCATCTGTGGCATTGCAGTGAATGGAATTTTGAATGAATAACTTTTATGATATTTTATATTATTTTAATAATTTGCCTCTACGGAATCATGTTTGTTGAATACTCATTCTAATTCGGGATGATTTTTACAGACCCCTTATATTGATTCCAGGGCCGCATCCACATTCATCATGTGTTTCTGGAGGCAGGTGGCAAATACTAAAAATCCCAATATTATATGAACGGTTCATGTTCGCCATATGAAATTAAAACAGCCTAAGAAGCGCATTAGCCAACATGAGAGATGAACTGATATTTTTAGCTATTATACGTCTCAAATCAAGGTCTACATAACACGAAATGAATATTATCTCTTTTTAGATACCTCTTGAGCAAATTCTTTATATTTTTCAGTAATATTCGGGGGGTGGTCGGAATGTTTTATTTTCCTGAGTAACAACAGTATTTGAAAAGCGCTAGATACTTGACTTATCGAGAATTGAAATATGTAAAAAAAGAGATATTCTCACTTCATCCCATTGGAATACACCTAGGAACGTACGTTAACAGAAACTTGGACCTTTTATCATTGTCTTATGTATTTTATCACATGAATGAGTGAGTATATGCGGGTTAGTGTAAAATTAGAAATACAGAATCTGTGCCTGTTCCATTTTTTCTGTGGTAATAGTTTTCATTTCACTTACAATTTTGGGATTCATCTTTTTTTCAGCATGTACTTTTGAATTATCTATCAGTATAATGGATCTCAAAAGAAATCGTTCATTAATAAGATTCAAATGTTGAATCGAATTAATTGAAAATACGCATACCTATATCCTTATTTTCGAGGTAGAGAAAATCCAAAAAATTGAACATACCGAGTTAATTGTATTTTTTTGGCGAGATAATCTCAAAAATCACAATTTTTCCATTTATTCATTGCAACAAACAATTGTGAGATAAAGTACTATCTCACAATCAGTGACTCAATCAGATAACACAGCTGCTTCTCAAAATATAACATACAAATACTCTGATTATCGAATTTATGTTGAGGAATCTTCCTCAATCAAGAGCATCGAAAAAATGGAATTGTTGCAAAGCAGGACACAAATCGGCTCGAAACTTATTTCAAGTCCGTTCAACCGCACCGTGTACCCCACTCCTTTCCCCCACTTTACCAGGTGTAGCATGGTGGGGGTGTTATCCCCTCCTGGTCCCGCCCCTTATTGGCTGTCAACATTATGCACAAAACAGTTGAAGCTCAAAGACGGACTGGTTATGTTGTCCGCGTAAAGATATTACACGTTTTTAATTGTTCACACTTATGGACACCTGCATATTTTCAATATTGTGTTACTCCAAGGATTTTCAGTGTTGTGTTAAGGACTTTTGATTCGTTTCATGTGCATGTGTGTGTTTATATTCCTTCTAGTGACTCCCGTGTTAAGGATTTAATTTCACACTCAATAGGAATGCTCACAGGTAAATAATATGCAAATCTCTATGGAAAAGATCAAGTTGGCGCGTGTAGGTATTACAAGAAATCTGTATATGAATTAATCCGCTCCAAAGTGTAAGGTATTCTGCATATGCATATATTTTGAGTATTTTAAACTGGCAGAAGCTGAAAACTATTTAACTTAGAATAATCGTCATATGTACAGTAAAACAATTGAAATGTATTAGGACATTGAAATCAAGATGTAGGTACCAATTGTGCGATATCATTATATTAGATTTTTAAACACGGTTTTAAGGTTTGATGAAACCAGACATTTTATTAGTTATTGAATAAGTTTTTAGATTCTATATGTTGATAGGAGTATTACAAAGTATGCTTTCTCAATTGTTCACAATTAGTCTCACCGGATATTTTGGTGGTACATATATGGTTGAACCCATTCAACGAAAGTAAAATGAAAAATATATATTTAATAACGATAAATATAATACCTGAAATTGTTCTAGATAATTAAATGTTAATAATAGATGAAAACTGAAATATGTATAGAAACTGTCGCATGTATCCACTATTTTATATGTTGGTATGTGATCCAGGGAGTTTCAGAGGAATTAAAAATAAAACAAAAATATGATAACTGTTCATGTCTGAAGTTGAAACCCAATCGAGTAGCGAGTCGAGTACTCAGATAGCCTTATGACATGGTGAAAATTGAAATAGGTAACACTGCCACATTTATCAGACACATAAATGACAAATTGTGATATATTCGGAACTTAAATATTATTGCCCAAGGAAAACTGGATTAATGAAAAAAATTGGAGCTACTCAGTGGATAAATAAGAGGGTGGGATTGGTGGGGGGGATACTTCATGATAAGATAGGAAGGAGAGACTACTCAAGGTGTAGGTGATAATATATTGTTATGTATATATGAACAATAGTTATATTAAAATAATTCGACAGTTTTACTCAGAGATGTTTAATTAAAGCAATAATATTGAAAGTTCGAAGTTTTGACAGATATTTGCCATTCCGTTTTTTCTTGGGTAGGTAATAAACTTAGCCGAAAAAAGAATTGAAGTGTTATATGATCCTATTCATTCTAGAATTTTATTTGAACAATACCTGAACTCAAAAAATTGGAGATAAGTATTATTAAGTATTATTGCCAGCTCACAGTTTCGAATTTATAACTAAGAGGAAAGAATCGTCATTACTTAAGTTCTCTAATTTGGTCCTAACATATACAGGAACCCACAAAGCTTCAAAAAGGAAGTTAGAATAAAGATATCTGCAACGTTTGAGGTAGGTATCTATTGTTCTTAGTCAAGAAAATTTAATATAAACAAGTATAGGAATATTTTTTACAAAATCTAGACTGACAATTTTATTCTCATTCAAATCTAACCAAATGTCAAAAATAGGAAAAGTGTGTGAGTGAGAATATCTAATAGTAATCATGATCAAGACACATTTTCATGATAGTTATTGCCGCTTATATCCTACGAATATAGGTATACTTATACACGAGCTAATATAAATTAAGGAAACTCTTTTATGTACCCCTCACTGAAAAGTTTCACAATTTTTACAAACAATGTAAGATTGACAAGAAAATTGGCTCATTTTCTGAATAAACCAGTAACTCAACCCACAAGTTTAGTATTTTATCCATGAGGTAAAGTAAGTGACAATCATACACGCAACCCTAGTTTCAAGGGACACTGTGCGACATCTGATAACGAAATCGCAACCCTTCAAATATATCCATAGGCGTGACACTACTAAGTAGTAAAATTATTTAGTTTTTGTCATAATGATTTCTAAGGATAGTAGATGAGCAAGTCTGAAATTCTAAAATTAGAAATGGGTATCAAGTAAGTATCTGTGCAATGATAAATGAAACTTTTAGTAGGTTCAATTTTGTTTTTACATCACTATCGAAAAAGGCGTCAATTTTGTAACTGTTTCTCATTGGGAAGGTAGGCAAAACTATTACACTTTCACCTCTAAACCAAAATATACAGTTATTAACGAAAAACAGGAATAAAAGTTTGTACTCGGGATGTGAAAATGAATATTCCCAACAAAAATTTGTAATGTGGCAAAAAATTGATATTTTTCCAAACTTTGTCACTTGAAAACAAAACTTGAATTATCACACTCATTTGTAAGCTACTTCTTAGTGTAGTTATTAGGATGCTGAAGTTGACTACCAGTGGTCCAGTGTTCAAGTCTCATCATAAGTAGTTTTTCATTTTTGAATAAAATAACAAAAATATGTACTTAGGGACTATTTTTGAATGCTTTTCAGTTTCCTTATTTTATGGCATTTACCTCATTCAGAATATCCTTAAACTATTTCATAAAAATAGTACTTATAAACAGTTTTCAAATCGCTTAAAATTGCCATTTATCGCACGAATGATTTACAAGTAAGGACCACATATCTTGCTCGTGGAATACTAATTGTAATATTTCAATCGATGGAAGAAGTTGATTTAACTTGGTGAAAGTTTTTCCATCACATTCATTCCTTAACAGAGATTTAAGTTCTATGCTTGTGGGAATAATATTGCATGTATCAGTTTGATAACGGACTTGTTGAAATCATGAAATGTATCCAAATCAAAACAAGGCAAATGCTTGAAAGGTTAAAAAGTTGAATAGAGGTCTTCAGAATTTTTTTAAGAATCAATTAAAATGAATACTTTTGTACACTCTTTTGGTATTGTGAAATAAAGAACTAGACTCTCCGAACATGAAAGTGATGCTAACTAGTTTCACTGCTCTTATTCTATCGAGATATTCTACGCCTCTGATCCCAACAGAACGCATATTGTTTCACTGAGTCAATTATGTTAGGGTAAAAACGAAAAGGGGGTGATTTATCATTAATTTACCGAAGTTTCTCCATTGGTGATTCATTGATGGTTTGATATCCTTAACGGAATTATAAATTATGCAGATTCCCGATATAATGCATGCTTATTACGACAATAACAAATTGAACTGAAGATGTGGCCAGAAATCTCATCAGAATAGTTTCGTCAAATAAAGTTGATGAGTTATACCTTACAGTGAATACAGTTAAGCCTGCTAGACGTGTTTACAATTCCTCAGTGCTTTATATAAAAAAGTAATATGTAAAACTGATTTTAATACTGAAAACATCTGATTACCACAATAATTACAGTATATCGTCCCCAATCGAGTAATTTAGATAGTTTTGGAAAACCTCTTAAAAACCATGAATCTAAATGTCTTTCCGGAGAAAAAATTTCAATATTGATTTCAATTCTAACTACTCACAAACGCATATGTAAAGTTACTCACTGGAATCTTGAAATATTAATAAAACTATTCATTCGCCAATCATTATGTTCTTGGATTTTTGTTTACTTTCGACATCACAGATTTGTATATTGATATTATAGTAAAAAGTGTGGGTTCACAGTGTACTTATGAAGCAAAAAATGTAGATACCAATATATTTCATCACAATGCAAATTGGTGCAATTGTTTTCTCAGTGACTCAAATATCTACATGTTTAGAGAATTTATTCAGAACTGTTATTGGAATATAGCATATCAGCCTGCTAAATGGAACGGTGTCTTCAATTTTTCTATACCTAGAGAATCTTGTTGCTTCGAAATTCCTTATCCACTGCGTAAATGTTCGAATCAATTATTCACCAAAATTCATGATCCTTGAACGACAAGTGAATTAATGAAGGCTGAAAATTGTATATCAATTTATCCAGATCAGAGTGGACATTTTCTATAATTTGAACACTTATTCAGTGAAGCAAATAATGAATACATCTCAATATTATCAATCGCAAAAAAATGAAAACGATCAGATAAAAAACCAGTCGTCAAATAACAACAAAACCATGTAGAATATCGCTGACACCTTTAGCAAACAAAAAATCAGAATGCTCCTGAAATTGTTCAGAATGGAGAAAACTCAAATTCGATTGATTCTGTCAACTGCTTCAACTAACATTTCAATCAATAGTCTGTCATCTCACTGGTAATCTACCTGTAGATAGAGTGTGGTAATTTCCACTCAGACTAAATACTATGTATTTCCGCCTGCTCTCTAACAGGAATGTTTCAGAAACCATAAATCAATTAAAAGCATTTCAGATCCTGTTTTCGACCCTGTGGTAATGATGAAATATCTCAATATTCTCCCCAAACATATTTTTATGCATTATCAAACATTTGACTCTTCAGTAAATAAGTTCATAGAACTTATTTACTGAAACTCAACTAGTGAAAATGTCACAAGTCAAGTATTTATTTATATATAGCTACAGAGCTATATATCACGTTATAAACAAGAATATCTAAAGTATTCGAATCAACTGTAAGTGAACAACTGCTTTCATTTCAGGAAATCAACATGTTATCACAAAAAGTAAAGGCACTTAAAGAGCTCTAAATAAATTTGTTGAAGCGTGGATGGCCCCAGCGAGGTTCTTGGATATTTCTTAGGCTAATAATCAAGTTTTTGGCTGTGTTAACAATCAATTTCACATACATAAATAATCGTGATATGATTTAAGAGATATAGTTGATGATTGGTTCAATTTATATTTATCTGATCTCTTTCAAAAATTGAGCCTAAGGTTTCAGACTTGGCTTCCATTACTAGTGGTGTGCCCCAGGGGTCCATTTTGGGTTCCACTTCGCTGAATGTTTTTATCGGTGATGATAACAATTATTCCTGTACAATCGTATCATAAGCTGATAACACTTATTCTTTGATCATACATAATAACTATGACGGCTGTTTCTTCTCGCTCAGACAAATCAAGATAATGGGTGCAAAATAATGTACTTTGCTTCAATGAAACCGAATCTGTATGAATTTTTTTTCCTAGAATAATTTCTTCAAATAAAACAGTAATTGGATATGAAAAACAAATAAAACTTCTTGCGTTGGTCATTGATTGTAACCTCAACTTGGCAAAACATATTGAGTTCTGAACAAAACGGGAAATGAATA